GAGACGTAGATTCACGTCCATATTGTTGAAAGATATTCAATAAGGTTTAGATATGCAGTTACATTTCAGCACTGATTTTTATCCACAAACCGACAGACAATCAAAAAGGACAATTCAAGTATTGGAATATCGTTTAAGGCTGTGTTCTCGACTTTGGAAGCAGTTGGGAAGATCATATTCCAATGATCGAGTTTGCTTAAACAATAGCTGCCAGTTTAGTATCAAAATGGCTCCTTCGAAAGTATTGTATGGCAAAAATCGCAGAACTCCACTCAATTGGGTCGAAGTGAGGTAATATCAAACGTTAAGTCTCAAGCTAATTGATAAAGCTACAGAGAAATCGAATTAATTAGAAACAGATTGAAAGTTGCTCATGATCGACAACACAAATACTATGACCTAAAACACAAAGCAATTGAATTTGATGTTACAAATTTAGTATTTTTGAGAGTCAAACCAATGAAAGGTACAACTAGATTTGATCAATGAAGCAAAATAAGTCCCAGGTACATCGGTCCTTCTGAAAATAAAGAAAGGATCGGCACAGTTGTCTACAGTATACATGATGTGTTCCACATTTCCATGTTAAGTAAATGTGTTTCGAAATTAGGGCAGACAATTTCACATGAAGATATTGAACTATAGGAAAACTTAACATATATTGAAGAGCTTGAAAAAATTTTAGGAAATGATGTTAAGAAGCTTCGAAACCGACAAATTATTTTTTGTGAAGATAAAGTGAAAGCTACTTACGAAAAAAAAAAAAACTAAGGAAATAGACATCTTCAAGTAAAATAAAAAATTTCGAGATCGAAATTTTATAAGGTGGAGAGTTGTAACGTCCAAATTTCAAGATATCATGAGTTTTATAAGGTGGGGAGAGTTGTAACGTCCAGATTTCAAGATATCAAGCAAAGTTCCGTACAATTACAAAGTAGCAAAAATTTAATCTCTCGGAATTTTATTGAAACAATTTTATTAAATTCTACGCAAAAAATCGATCAATTCCATATAAAACATCATGAATGAATTGTTAACGGATTGAAAGATATGAAATTCAAAAGTTATATATATTTTAGCCTAATTAATCCTTAATTATATTCCTAATTACAGAATTACTGTTTTCAACAGACTTTCACTCCTTTTTATTCAATGATTTCGATTGATTAGGGCCTGCAGGGCTCTGATTTCCTTCCCTCTTCCGAATTCCTGCTCCCTCACTTAGCTCCCTCACGTGATAGCTTCCTCGCTCGTCTGAAGGTGATCCCAATAGTTTCTACGTGATCTGCACTATACAGAGTCACAGTAGGTAGCACTCGCACGAACTAGACGCAGGGCCGAGTGCTGCAAAGCACAATCTAGGGTTCTGAGGCAATTTTTTTTTTGTAAATGAGAATCTCTCTCTCACGTCCTTTGAGAATTTCATTTCCTTCCTCACCATTCTGTTTTAACATTTGTCTCATTTTTGTGCTCTTCCCATTTTCGATAGCCTTCAGAGGCGCCAATTTTCTGCTAGAAGTGTCGTAATTGATTTTGGGAGCTTCTAAAAATATTTTAGCATGAAATCAGTGTGAAACTTGAGGAGATTAGGAGTAGGAAAACTGAAAATAGTGATTTTGGAAAGGTGAATTTATGTTGAAAAACCCTTTTGAGGTATGTTTTGGCAAGTAAAGTATATTTTTAGATTAATTCATGATATAAGCCAAATTTTATGAAATCATATATTGTCTACGAGCCTCAGGTTGTCTATACAAGGCAGCAATCTCGAGACGAGCATGTAGGCAATCTTCTTAGGGCTACTTCGTCAAGTCAGATAAATTAATCTTATCTAATTTAAGAAAAAATAATCTTATATAAGTTTTTATATAATTTCTATTTTGACACAGATGCATTTAGAATTTTTTGCATATTTTAAATGAATACCTGCAACTAAATATATAAATACAAGTAGGCTTCTCTTACGATACATATGATGTTATTTACATATGATGTTATGTTATGATATGATACAGGTGATTAAGCTTATGACATGAATTGTCTGCAGGTATTTATTTGTTATGTTTCAGACCTATGATACATATAATGTTTTATAAATATTTGATACAAGAATGATGATTTAAATGCCACAGGAAATGTTAGGGGTGAACTATTACATGAGTTCTTGCAAGTGCACTGTGTAAAGATGTAATATTCCCGACTCCTGATATTTATAAGGGGACGAAACTCTAGGAACCGTTGGGATTATACAGTGACAAAACATTAGGGAACCGTGAGTATCAAGAAAGTTATCGATAACTGCTATGTTGAGGACAACCTTTATCGATAGTTTATATGGTCTTTGGGGTAGGGTGAAGACCCATGATGAAAGGATATAAAAATAATTGAACCTTATACATTAAACTAGTGACATTACTATAAAATGACATTGTCATGACATAAGATAAACAGCCTATGACGATGCTTGCTTTCATATTTATGATTTCATGATTACAAAATATATGTTACGATGCTTTTGATTATATTTATGATTTCATGATTACAAAATATATGTTACATTGCATTCTTTATTTTTATATTATATATACATGTTCTCTATTATGCCAACGTGTTATGATTTGTCTGTAGACATGTATACTTTCACGAGCATGCACGTTTCTTTTTCATGCATAAAATTTTATGTTAGCCCTGATTCTTTCTCCGAACTCGTTACTCATTCTAAGTTGTTGTCTTCCAATTAGGGCAACGAACAACAGACATGTCTTTGTACAACTTTTGAACGATAACTTTTGAAGCTTACACAAATATTTTTGGCACGTATTTTTATTATATTGGGTTTGCCAGCTCTGTATAGTTTTCATGTTTTGGATAATATGACTTTCATGAAATGCAATGTACATGAAATGCAATGTAACACGTATGTGCGGTGATCTAGGTAAACTAATTCATCACCCATTGGATTCTGATTATACAATTTAAGACAAGTGCTAGTTAGAGTTTGTTTGACCAAATTGCCGGTCTCTGTCGCACCACAATTGAACCTACCAAATGGGTTAGTTGGGGCATGACAGATATTTCCTTCAACTACAACAAAAACTTACTTCTTTGAGAGAAAACAAATCAAAGGAATCACTCAGAGCCATAATAGTTGACTTATCCGATAAAAAGGAAGAAGTCAACCCTTTCACCGACAAGTTTCTAATGATGCAAAATCAATGCCCTGACGATTTGAAATTTAATATCATAGGAGAGGCAATGACTTTAGTGTGAAGATCAACTTGCCAGGTTTGGACGAACATCTGGATCCAGATGAATTTATTAAGTGACTATAAAAAGTGAAGCAATTTTTTTTAGTACAAGTAAATTCCCCAAGAAAAAATAGTCAAATTGGCAGCCATCAAGCTTAGGAAGATCCCAAAGCTCGCCTCACCCAAACCCATGTGAACTCATAATCCCCTCATGTTCTTTCCAATACCAATTTTTTTTAGTACAAGTAAATTCCCCAAGAGAAAATAGTCAAATTGGCAGCCATCAAGTTTAGGAAGATCCCAAAGCTCGCCTCACCCAAACCGATGTGAACTCATAATCCCCTCATGTTCTTTCCAATATAATAAAAATAAAAATGATTTACAGGCATGTGATCCCAGAAAATCTCAAGTTTTATCCAGCAACGGTCTCCCTATGTTGAAAAGAATTATTCATAATCCCAAAAGTTGGGCCTTCCTATCAAGCCTTTCTTTCCCAAAACAAAAAACCAAAGAAATAAGAAACCAGCTATTGGATCGAAACGTCAGTTGAATCTCCACACTGCCATGCAACTATCGCAGATGTCAATACTCCCAACTTAGGCTCTACATGTAACTTGAAAAGAGTTTTTTATGTTAAATAACTAAAGAAAATAATTCCACAATTGCTTTATTTTTAAGATTTCATTTCCAGATAAATAGGTGCCAAAGATTCTCTTATAATAGAAGCGAACAAATAAATGTGAAACCAGATTGCTTGGCCTCTACATGTAACTACGTATATCTAGAAGCTTCTCAGTAAATTCATGCCATATAAGTAAAAGGAAAATTCACAAACGAAATATATTGAAAGATGCGTTGCAACACAATGTGAAGGGTAAATTTAAAAATTAACTTTTAAGTTGTTGCAAAACTTGTACAATTTACCAAATTATGAGGTGTTAAAATTTAGAGGTTGAGCAATGAGACACATTAAATCAAATAAGCACACTAAAACAAGAACATGAGTTGAGCAAATGGAGAAAGATAACAAAAATTAAGCTAATTATGAATCAGCTGAAATTGCCTTCGTCGACTCTCCAAGCTCCTCTCTCTCAGAAATCCCACTCACTCATGCACAAGTTGGTGGAGCCCTGTACTAAACCCCTCTTCTTTTAGGAAAGAAAAATAATCCCTTTTATCTTTTGGCAAAAGCACCTCTCAAAGTTCTTTCCAAAGTGAGATTGTTCAAGCAATTGGAAGAAATGAGTTGTACTATGAACCTATTGCTGTTACCATTGGAAATGCAAATTGAAACACTAAAAGTTTTGAAAGAGTGGAGAGAAACTACATCAAAGAAAAGTTAAGAACACTTGAGAATATTTTTTCAAAGATGGCAAATTTGAGTGCTTTCACTAGTTCATGAACTTCTAGATGTTGATTGGACAGTGTGCACACGTGAGGGTTTGTATTTTGTCGAGATCGCTCAAACGTGGCCTAAGGAGTGGTGCTCCGTGTTGCTTACAAAGCACCCCATAAAGTACAAAATCGATTGGGTTGAGAACATTGACCTTAAATGGATTTTCAACTTACCATAAAATGTGGATTATCGAACTGTAATTATCATTTCAAAATCTATATGGTGCAAAAACATGGCCTTAAAATAACCTTTCGACTTAGAGAAACAGGAAGTTTAAATAAACTGTAATTATTGTTTGCTCAAATTCCTGCATCTCCATTTTAGAGCATTTAAATGCAGATTCCTAAACACCCTCCAATTCAGAGTGCATAGAATGAGTAAAGGATCCCTTGCCTCATTGCAAAATTGCAACAATCACTGCCTCCATTAGACAGAAACGTAGTGATGCTTGTAAATACATAGATATTACTCCAAAAGATGACCACCAACCATCTTTAAAAAGAGAAATAGACAAAGTTAAATTAAATGAATGTAGATGTTTACCTCACTGTGTTTTCTTCCTCTTCAGTAACTGCATTCAATCTGCCACCAATTGACCTCCTAGCACGACCACTTTTACTTTCGCGAATGCTGTCATTTAAAGTTTCTTCCAAGCTATCTAACTCTTCCATTATCTACTGTTGCACATGCAATAATTCACGACTTTATTATATAAGTATATTCCAGTAAATCAAACACTTAATGGTAAACAAGAGATTTACCAACATGAACACATTCGAAAAAGATAATCACCTGAGCAATTCTTTGTTCATTTCTACCAATCTGCATTTGCTGGCCTTGGGTTAGCCCACCTTGTGAAATATCTTTTACTCGAATAGCATCAATCTCCTTCTTCATATTCGACACCTTTTCCATCCAAAAGCATGGGAGAAAATGATAAAGGTCACAAAATCAATGATTACCATGATAGAAGCCCCATGCATTACAAAACATAATATTTAACACCACAATTAACTATAGCACCAATGCATAAAGTAAAAAACGGTATTAGTAAAAAAAAGGGCTTACATTAGTCTTTTTAGTGGACAAAAAACCAAATGAAAAACTAAAACAGCAGAAAACACAAATAATATGATATTATATTGTACATGAACCCAAGTAACCATTTATGAAAACCTATAAATCATGAATACCCAAAAGATAGTTTTTATAACCAGGTCGGATGTCAGATATGAAAACAAGATGCCCAATACTTCATAAAAAGTGTCATCTTTTTTGGATGAAATTAGACTGACACTTCCCCAACACGGCGAAACATGAAAATGACATAAGCAACATTCAAGCCTTAAAAATGTTGAGTGCGAAAGCGATACATGCAAGGCTTAAAACCATGTGAAAGGAAAACAATCTCTGTGCATGCCTTTGCCTAAGCCATAGCAGTTTGCAAACAAACTTAATGAAGAAGAACCTGAAAATGAAGCCACTCAATCTCCTGCTCATATCTCCCTAAACCGAAGAAGCTGAAGACCCTTGATCATAGGCTCATAATCAAACTCAGAGCTACAGAGAGGAATGTTCAAAGCCATCCATGCTATGTCTCTCTCTTAGTAATCTTTTCAATCTAAAGTCATTGTGTAAGGAACTTTGAAGCAAACTTCATACCCAAAGCCATGCCGTTTGAAGTCAAGCCAACCGATGCCCTAGCCAACAAAATCAGGCCAATGTCATTCATCCTGTAAATGGAGTTTTTTACTTCACTGGTTGATTCCATGTTTTCCGATTACATTTACAAGACTATATTTAAGGCTTTATTTATTCAGGTGGTTATACAGACAAAGCTCTAACCATGTCTGATCAAGGCTTAGTCATTGATTACTTGAATCATTTTATTTGTGTTAGGAGTTATACTTACTATCAAGTCTCATTTGAGATGGATCAACTCTTTAAGTTTTTTTTTTTTTTTTTACTCGCTTAACATAATTAAGACATTTGAGATGAGTACAAATCCCACAGAGAATGAGATAATATTTAAATATATGTTACCAAATTAGACAAATAGAGCAATTGAAGCAAAAGACAATATAAAACTTCAAAGCCATTTTTAAAGTTAATGCCCACAACTATAGTTTCGTTTTTAAATTAGTGGCACAGCAATATTCCTTATCTTCTTGTAAAAAATAATGGACTACATACTCCTTTATCAATTCACTAACGAGGAGCAATATCACTAATCAACAAGAAGAATATTTAGTATTTATCCATACAAATTTTTGTGTTCTACCTTGGAGCCTAGAATATTATCAAAAAGAGACTAAGCTATGGGATATTCGTATCAATAAATTAACTATTATACATGATACTAAAATGCTTGTAGCTGCTAATCACTCTTTATAAAAGCCATATTTTGAAACAATATTATTTTAAGATAAAGATGAAGGTGTCTTTAAAAAGGCACGGGCACTAATGCTAATCATTAGCCTAGCACGGAGTGTGTTAACTCCAATTAATAATGCTAGTGTAGTTATATTTTTTTCGATTACTCTGAGCATGGCAATGGTATTTTCCTTTTTAGAGATTTTTTATACCATGAAAGAAATATTGATATTAACAAAACATGTGACAAATAAACAAATTATTGACTTATTAGGCAGGAAGTTTCTTTTCTTTTACGATCTTTTACATAATTCTATGATATATTTGGTATAGAAAGTAGAAATAATATACTACATATTAAGGGTTATTGAAATAAAATATATGCTCATAGCATTGTGTGTCATGCTTGTTGAATTTATGTCGTGTCACCAAATCCGTGTCATATTGTATTATGTTTGTGTCCACTGTCAGTGTCCAACTTCATAGATATAAACTGGTTACTGAAAAAAAAAAATAAAGCAAAACAAACCATGCACTTTCAATAGAAGCTTGAAACTTTCCCAGGAAATATAATGTAGCCCACATGGCAGGCACTAATCAATCTAAAACACTACATATCAATCTCCACTAATGTGCATAATAATGAAGGGCATACAATTTTTTTTTCTTCCAATGCAGTGTCACTACACTTCAAAGCGATCTCAATTGTTTGATAATATGTGCTAAATAATGAGCAATCTAAAATGTAAAAAAAGCAACTTTATCAAAACTATGGCAAAGACACTCGATAAAGACAGAAAGGTGTTGTTACATATGTTTTAGTAATAAAAAAAAGAATAAACATGCATTTGTAACCCTCGAACCAACCATAATACTCACAAGTCAATTTCTAGTAACGATCACAGCTCCAACAATTATAACTCTACCAACAAGCACCTGCTCAAACCACATCTAGTTCGTTCATTCATTGTCACAATTCAGTCCAAGGGCTTGAAATTACCGAAGCGAGAACAGACGATTGGTTGGTGAACATAATCTAATTATAATTTTTACCACTAATAAATTATTAACCAAATAAATCGTAAGAGCCACCAACGAAATAAAATTTAATCAACCTAAAAGTACAGTAAAAAACAAAATTAAATTTCACTAGCTTCGTTGTATCTTCTATAACTATTTTCTTCTACTTATCATTTTGAACATTGAACTTCCTAAAAGATGTTATTTTAAACATAGTGATTCATAGACAATTTAAAAACTACTCATATTCCGAAATTATAATAACATAACAAACTAAAGAGACAAAAGACATGCTAGCCGTACGAGTAAATCAACATAGAATTATCTGACAGTTTATATAATCAAAATGAACATTCAAGAGGCTTCAAACTGATATATTATGCACTACAATATCTTACCTTATCAATATTCTTTTATTTATACATCAATCTTATCTAAAATATATAGTACGTCAAAATCAATATAATTTTTTTAATTAATGTGCATTAGCACATTAATTTCCCCAGCTAATATCATAAGGGATGAATTTCATAAGTTAACATGTGCATACAACCATTCTAAATAATTTGTGTCAATCATATTTTAAAATCATTCAATATATAATAAATATATTTTTAAAAATACGTAAAAAAGTTAATCCTGTTGAGAACTGGCAACAGTAATATTGATATGAAAAGTATTATAACATATTAAATAGTATCCATAATTATTCATGAAAGTGGCTTAGGAAAAACAAAAAATTTCTATAAGTTACAAGTAAGAGTACTCGCTTGATCACAGAATACTTGCCATTATGTTCTATCATATTTTCCTCAATAGAATACCTATAATCATGTGTAAAGTGGGCTTGTTAATTTATTTTATTTAACAAACATTTTAATTTTATAACTTTAATAATTATTACTAGAATTTGATTCTATTTGTTTAATCTTGATAATTTATTTTATTTAACTTACATTTTTAATTTTAAAACTATAAAAATTATTATTTGTGTGTGTGTGTAAACTGCATTAAGAATTTTATGTTTTATCTCATAATTAGATTGTTACTACAATTCTAACACTTTCTTGACATCTTATAAAAATTTAATTTTTAAGGAATTAAAATTTATCTTCTTATCATAATCATATTTAGAAAATATCAGTTCATATTTAGAAAATATCAATTCAATTTCCAATAAAATAATCTAAATAATTCATTAAGTAATATATATTCTAATTCTTGTCGCGACCCGGCCCGGGACCACAAATTTAACTGAAACAAGAATAGACGATGGGAACTAAATTTTCTTAATACATCTGTAATTTAACAGATGAAATAACCACTTTTGTCACGACCCAACCCGGAGCTTGGAATTTAACCAAAACGAGAAGAGACAGTTGAACGGTGAAAACTAATTTTTTTATACGCATCTACAATTTACCAGATAGAAGACTCACTAATTAAAAATAAATTAAAACAATATACTTAAAATTATCTCATTACTAGTTATCTGTGTCTTCTATAAACATTTCATCTTATATTGCTCATCTTTTAAATCACTTAATCTAAAATATTAGCTTAAAATAATTGTAAGCTAAGTAAGCCAATGAAAACTCATACACATAAACCATAGTAAAACAAGAGAAAAAGAAGTAATATACATGTCAGTCAAGTTTCTAATAAATCAATAAAACATTTAATGTTATTAAAAAAACTTTACTATATCAATAGCATATCAATATCATTTTATATCAGTACAATCGTAACAAAAGCATCATCTAAAAATTGTGTCAATTAAGACAAATCAATATCATTTTTCTTTTTCATATAAGTGCACAAGTAACTTAATGTTCCCACTAATAATATTAAGAGGTGACTCCATTATAGTCAGTCAAGCACATAAAAGCAATCAGCATAAAAATATCATTTATGTGCTCGTCACATTCAATTCAATATATTAACATAAACCAATATATGATATTAAGTAGCTATAAGTATTCCTTACAATGTGATCAATAAAAAAAATATATGAATTAAATAAATTTTGTGCAAATATTGTTGTCTACTAATGCATAAAAATCGAGAAGAATCAAAATATTACCATATATTAAAAGTACAAACACTCGCCTAAATGATAGTCAATCTACCTACTCTTGCCTACTCTAACTCGTATTACTTCTTTCAAATTATCACTATAAAGTATAAAATATTTAATTATCAATTTACTTAATTATGATTTAATTTAATTATCAATTATTGTTGTATTGTACTATTTAGTTAAAACTTTAATATTTGAACTTTTAAGTTAATTATGGTAATCAATATTAATATTAAATATTATTAATTAGAAGTAAAACCTAACTTTTATTTAATGCCATAATCAATTGCAATATGCGACATACGCAAGACATCCTTGCCGAGTGGCACAGCACTATAATTGGGATCTACATCGTCATAGTCGTGCTAGGAGCTGTGTTGTCAACCGGCATCGCCTCCGCCATCCTCTGCATTAACATATGTTCCTGTAGCAC